CAAGCAGTCCCCCCTCAGTTACCCCGCGTCAGCCAGTCTGCCTAAAAACCCAACCTCAACTACAACAGCAGCGTGAGGGTGCTCGCAGGGGCAGAAGCTGGACGCGCTTGCTCGAGCGTGCCCCTGCGGAGGTCCGTGTAAGAACTATTTTGCGGATGCCGCATAAGCCGATCAGGCCAGTCTCCGGACCCACCCATCGGCCCCGTCGTCCTCAGTCACTTTGCAGCGTGACCAGTACGGGCATTCACAGAGCACGCTCTAATCACAAGCGCGTGCAAACGCGCGTAATCCCTCTGCCCTCGAATACGCGGCCTTTGAGCGCCCTTCTCCAAGTGTCGGGCCTCGGTCAGGCATCCATCACGCTAAAGCCTACGGCACCCCCAAAGCACTGAGGTTTTGCGGCTCCGTCCGTTTCTTCCCGTGCCTGTTTTCTCTCACCTCGAGAGGATACTCCTCACGGGCCGACGCCGAGGGCTTCGTCGACAGGGAGGCTCTTCAAAAGCCTTACCGAAACACGGGGAGAGGATGTATCCAGACAGAAATATACTCACAAGCATACATACAGTAGAGAAATCCATTTGCTTCAAAGAAGTAAAAATACACAGCACAGGTAAGTTCTAGTAACTCTATTCAGCCAAAATAGGGGAGAAAAAAACAAAACAAAACAAACCCACACCACACCCACAACCCAAAATGTTTACTTTGGCTTCATTTACCAGTCACCTTTTCTACTTGCGTAGCCGGCAGCGAAACGCAGCATTTGGAACGCAGGCCCTCATAAGCCGGCTGAACTCCCTCAGAAGCCTCCGTGCGTTCAAGCCCGCCGCCCTGCCGCTCCTCTCCCCCCACATATTCAGTCGAGGACCGATTTCACAAGGTGCCAATACCGAGCCTACCCCGAGACAGCAACCCGGCAACCGCAAATCATCGAGTCTAAAAAGTTAGACGGCAGCCCGCGCCACGCACTGGCGTTTACGAAACGCCACGGACCCCGCAACGGGTATCCCACAGAAGTCGAACAGGGAAAAGCAGATTTCAAATAGCATTTCTTCTGTCCTAAAGCCAGAAGCACAAGCGCGGATTAAATACCAAAGAGATTTCTTCAGGTGGTGGCTGCGCGGCGGGAAACTCCGTGGGACTCTGTCTTTACAGTTTCTGGAGGCCAAAGACCCACATGACCTTCCCTTTCCTTCCCAGAAGATTAGGATAGAAGAATCGTTTCTCACGCCAATAATCGCACCTTCCTCGCGAGGAAGATTCCTTACCGTTCTCGGCTTCGGGAAGCCCGGAGAGCCACCCGCGCTCGCATAGCTGGGACTAACAAAACTAGCCAGCTGCTACTTGGGGGATGAAAACAACTGCGCGTGCGAGAAAGAAGCCACGCGCAGAGAGGAAGAGAAAGAATCAAGACGTTAATCAAGAGCCTATCCATCAGAACTGAAAAACTCCCACTGCACACAGATGCGCCATTCTCCCCTGTCCCTCTGTCCCTCAAACAGCAGTTTACCCAAACACCCCTAAAAACATTCTGCACCGACCGAGAACATTTAGAAGAAGATAAAAGGTTACAGCATCAGTCCTACGCTGTATGACTTTGTGAAGCAACAAAATGGCAGGAAATACATCTCCGCTAGGAAACACAAGTGGGTGTGGGAGTTAATGTTTGGGGACGCGTTCTGTCAGCGCTCGACAATATCCCTCTCCTTTGCAAGCTATCTAACCGGACGCAAACTTCCATAGCAATTCACCGCTCGTGACAAAAAGCACGCCGAAAATTCAAGGGAATATACGGACCGACTGTCACGCGTCCCGCGTGCCTTTCGTTCCACGGACCGCAGGGCACGAGATTCCCAGACGGGTCTTCCGCCAGGTCAAAGCTCAAAACCCAAAACAGTACCTCCGCCACGACTCGTCAGCAGGCATAGCCTAGAGCCAACAAACCGGGAACAAATTCAGGAAAGCCCATTGAACATGGCTAGACAGAGATCCTCGGTCCTCGAGGCCGACGAGGAACTCCAGTTTTGGTTTTACTCCTAGCTTTGCTATCGTTTCCTTCCTTCGAGCCAGACCAAAACATTCCGGTCGAAAGCTAGGTATGCGTCTGTCTGACACGAACCTCGCTCGCCTTTTCCGCCTCCGGTCTAGGGGGACAAAAACAACGCTCGCTAGCCCTCGCGGCCCACCTCGTGTACACGAGGCCCAGATTCACGCTTTGGAAGCGCGGGTTTTACTCCTAGCTTTGCTATCGTTTCCTTCCTTCGAGCCAGACCAAAACATTCCGGTCGAAAGCTAGGTATGCGTCTGTCTGACACGAACCTCGCTCGCCTTTTCCGCCTCCGGTCTAGGGGGACAAAAACAACGCTCGCTAGCCCTCGCGGCCCACCTCGTGTACACGAGGCCCAGATTCACGCTTTGGAAGCGCGGGTGGGAGCCTCAGGCGTTCACCTCCCTCTGCTCTGCACCGAGACAGCTAGAGTTGCTCTTGTAGTTTAAAGAAGAGAATACAGGACGATTAAACGAGACTCGCGGAAGGTTCTGCGATAAACCCACACCTGCAGAGCTGCCGGCTCTTCTAAAAGTTCCCTTCCGTTCAAGCCATCATTTCTAATGCAAGGTTTCACAACCATCCTGCTAGAGAAGCGGTGCTGCCTCGACTCGGCCAGCACTTTTCATTCAAAACAACCTTGACACGGTATTAAAAAAGAATAAACAAAACCCAAAAACAGAGTGTCGAGTACTGTTAGCAACAGAGGCAGAGTCGCAGCAGGGATGGTGCAAGAGACAAGGCCAAACTGGTACCAAAGCCCGAGGCCCTGGGAACGAGGGCACGCCTGCGAAGGACAGCGCCACGTGGCACGCCGCACCGACCCAGCAAAGCCAGGCTACGTCACACCGGCGGCCGGATCGCCGGAGGCGAGCTGCAGATCGCCAACTTCTACCAGCGCTGCAGCAGGGACCTGTCACTCCCATCGAGGAAAACGATTTTCAGCGAGAAACAGCGAGCGCTCCGACGTTCGTAGCAGACGGAGCTGCAAACACAGCCACAGTACCGTGCGGAGGAGGAAAGAAACAAAGGAGAAAAGACACGGAAGAGCTCGGGGATGACAGACAGACTCACGGACCCAAACAAACAGACGGAGAAGAGGTTCACGGTCAGCCAGCCGGACCAGTCCGATTTCTCACACGTGCCCAACCTCGCGGGGAATCGGCAGGAAAAACAGGAAGGAGACTCCCTCCTGCTGGCACGCGCCGGCACTTTCAATCCAAGCCGTGGGCGACTCCGGCCTTCCCTACCTCCGGACGCCTTCCAGAGACTCCCTGAAATGCCTACCCGTAAATCCTTTCACAGCAGCATACCGAACACATTCCAGTGTTTGGAAACGGCACACGACGGCCGTATCGGTAAGTCAGGATTCGTCCTTCTGAAGAACACCGACATGTTGTTTTACACACACCGTCACGAGAACAACTGCTTTTTCAGTCGGTCGCATCCTGCGTGAGGCGGGGGGCGGCCTCGGGAGGTACTGTAACAGGAGAGCAGAGCTAGCGAATTCCGTTAGGCCTAGGCGATCGCTCTTCAGTGAGGTTTTTCCTCCCCTTTGCCCCACCCATCTCCTTAACTCCACAACGCGCAGGAGAGCGGGATCTTTCGTTCAAACCAGGCACGCCGACAGGGCACGAGCGAGCTGCGCTGCGCTGTCCGAACAGGGCCGCCGGGGATATTCGCAACGCGCGTGCGTCAGGACACTGGACAACCGCTCGTCTAGAAGGGCGGTCTCCTCTCGCGCGCGCCGTCGATTTTCCCCCGCACGCCTCTCCCTCTGCAAACGCCCGCTGCGGAAATGCCCGCTGTCTGAACACGGTGGATCAGGTTTGCCAGAAGAAAGGAAATGCCAGATGCCATCAAGAAATGCTCCTGCTACTACAGGAAACCCTTTCATCGATAAAAACGTGTAAACTCTCGCCTCCTTCCGCCACGTGGCTTCGGGCTGGCATCAGCCTGCCCTTTCGCTAGCATCGCCACATTCCTCACCGTCCATCCCCAGCGTAGTGCCACTCCTCGGTGCGAGTACCACGAGAGGCCGGGCGCTCTGCAGGTCCGGAAGGCGGCCTGGCACCCCGCCGACAACGTCCCCAGCTGCCCCCCAGAGAAAAGGTTCCGCTCACGCAACGGCTGGCGCACGCGTGCAGCGCGGCCCCTTCCCCGTTCCAGAACGCAGATGCCGAAGGAGGGCCGCTTCACAGGGCGACAGCACCGACCGGACGTTCTCGCAACGGCCCGGACTTCCACAAAAAACTCAACCTGCGGTTAACGCTTCCTTCTTCTCAGAGACTCCTTCCTTCATCAGCATAGCACAGAAAGCGCGTGTCCCTCCGCGCCGTCCGAACCAGAGACCGTTCCAACGGCAGAGCCGGGTGGAGAACTGCAGCTTGTTCTCCCGACAGCTCACGGCCCAGGAACCCGTCGCCCCACACCGCACCTCAGTCAGGTTACGGCCTCTGCATCGAGCAGAAGCAATGAGCGTGCTTAGACGGCCAGCGATTGTGTCATCCTCTCTCGCTGAAAGAGCTGAGCGAGACTACACCCCACGCTTCTCGGCAACGTAGCTACCCCGGTAGCTTCTCGATCCTTAATTCCGAGGGTCGCCGCTTGAGCGACCCTCCCCCTTTCCGAGACGCGCCCGGCAATGCCAGACAGCTACGCAGGCAGAGTCGCTTCCGCAGCTCCGGGGACCCCCCCCGGGGATTAGCACGCCACCTGGATTTTCTGGGAGAGCACGGTGGGTTACGACAGTCAGAGAAGGCTAAGCCAAGGCAGACGAGCAGCCTAAGCCCCGGGTTTGCCACCTCCGCTCCCCATACGGCGTAAAGCGCTGGGGTGTCTTCCCTCAGCCAAGGTCGGAAGGAACCGGACTGCAGGTCACAGACACCATGGAGTGGGAAGACAAGAGACTAGAAAAGGATCTCTGTGCAATCTTTCCGATGGGCTTCTCCCTCCTTCAGTTCTCACCTGCTGTCGTGCCGTCACTAGCTTTAGGTTTGGATTTAGACTTGAAGGAGAAGCGCTTGATGAGGCGGCGGGAGAAGCTGCCGGCTTTCTTCCTAGCAGCGGAGCTGGCGGCGACGTTGGACAAGTCATCGTGCGACTGGCTCAGGCCCGCTTCCTTCTGCTTGCTCCTTCTCCGGAAGATGAGCTTGGTACCGCTCCGAAGAAAGCTAACTGCAGAGACAGAAAGGAAGGAGACTGAAGCCACGGTAGTACCCCGCCCTGGCGAGTCTCGGGGGCGATAACCCGCGCGCGGACGGGCGGCAAAGACTTCTTCCGCCCCCAGCGACAGAAGCGCGCGTGGCAGGTTGGCGAATCCCAGCTCCCGACCGCAAGGCAAAGTCTACGTTAAGAACAGACTGCAATACCAGGCTGCTCCGCTACGCACGCCGTCGCGTGTCCCCTCTGCGTAAAAGTCCTTTTATGCAACAACGTCCTCCCTTCGGTGGAAGCGTGCAGATTTGCCATCAGAAAGCTAAGACTCGTACGAATGGAAAACAAGTGAGAACGTCTGCACGTGGAGACACTGGGAGGAACACGCAACGGCAAAAAGGCCTCTCAGACTAGCCCGTCTCAAGGGTGCCCAGATTCGCCCGTCATCGGTCCCCCGGAACAACTGCTCGCCGTCTCACGAGATGCCCAAACTTGGAGACCGATAACGGCAACGGCCCCAGAAGTCTCACGCAGGCGGGACAGGATGGGGACGCCGATCGCCGTCAGCCCCAAACGGGTGCAGAAAGGCACATCCGAAACCTGCACGCCGTACAAAGCTACAACAGTATTTCCTACGGAGGGGGTTTGCTTTCCATTTTCTTCCTTCTCTTCCCCGCCCACCAGGTCTCTCGAGAATCTGGGCCACGCACCTTTCTGCTCGCTGACGTGCAAACAAGGGACCGCCGCAGTTCAAACCGTACCTGGCGGTACCAGGGTACGACCCCCTGAAACTCATCCCGCTCTCACGCTCCGAGCAATCGCGATTTTGACTTGCGGTTGTTTATGCGAGCTTGTGGCTAACCGAAACCGTCGCGGCTACAAGCAGACAAATCCTAGGTGCGCCATCCGTCTCACCAACACGAGTCCCTCGGTCGGGGCAGGCCCGCTTCATCGTCTAAAAGCGGAGAGCGTGTGTGGACATCCTACGGGACAACAGGTCAGAGGCGCTAGCTACTTTGACGCTAACAGAGCAAGAGGGAGGGCATCGAGGCCCGTACAATCCACATTGTTGGGCGGCCTCCATTTCCGTGCCAGAGACGGCCAAATTCAGAGCGGGAATCGTTATTTACGGACACGTGCCTGATGCGCGGACCCAAAGGCCAGGGAGCAAAAAGGGGGTTCTCGAGAACACGCAAGCTGCGCGAGGTTCCCATCTAAGAGAGCACAAAAACCGAAAAGGCCAGGGGAATCGGACGCCTGCAAACGGAGGAGTTTGCAACCGCTCCAGCAGGAGCCGCTCTTCGCCGCGCCGAAAGCTGGCCGCATCCCCCGCCCCGGGGAACTCGGACGTCGCTTTGTCCTCAAGCACAACGGGCTACCGTTAGCTACCGTCCAACGGTTCATCCTTACCTTTGTGATCTTTCAAGCTCCTCGTCTCAAGGGCTCCCGTGGAGCCAGTTTCAGACTCAACATCTTCCACCGACGGTCTCTCAGAGATGTCCGATCGCGTCGTCTCATCCAGCTCCTGACTGGCCCTTTGTCCCGACGGCGACGCTTCCAGCGGCCGTGACGACTCCGAAGAATCGCGCACCCGGTCGGCCGCACCCTCTACCGCAGAATCCCCGTACACCGTGGCCTCCAGGGATGCAGCGTAACCCAGAGAAAGTGCCGTTTCATCCTGAGCGATAGGTACCTGGAGGGGGGTTAGAAGGTCACACAGACAGGAAGAGAGAGTCTAAAGGACCGCATTCGTCTCCCTTCTTCCATCCACGCCTACATACGGATGCTCCAGTTCCGATCGTCAGCGCTAGACAGCAACGACGTGCGATCATCAATCTTTTGCCAAAACGCACCGGAACACGGCCGATTCCAAAGCGTTCTGCGGCACCTCCCTCATTCCCATAGGCAAGTCCAAAGAGAACTCCTCAGATTCTGCACGAGGTTCCCAACCGCCTACAGCAGCGGCCTCCCTTTCTGGCGCCGCCCTTTGCGAACTCCCACCGGCAGCTGCCCCGCAGACCGGCGAGGTACCTGCGACACTCGCCGGGAAGCAGCGACAAGCTGCAAGGAAGCGGCGAAAGGGTTCTGCCGACCAAGTCGTCTGTGCTGGAACCTTCCCACGCCGGTCCCTATGGGACGGGACGGTTTCACGCACGCATCCCTGGAAACCACCTCCCCGATCGGAAATGGAGCCCCCTAACTACCAGAGACCTTGGAAACTCCCGAGATGATCAGCGTGCTACGTTTTGTCGGGGTCTTCTTGGCAGGCTTGTTGTTCGTCTCGGTCAGCTGCCTGATCGCCGTCTCGGCCACCGGATCCAAGCCGTTGGGCATATGGCTATCCCCTGAGCACAAGAAAGATACCGACGCTTGAAGTAGCAACCTTCAGCACGGGCAAGAGGTCGCTCGCCGACTGCGATGCTTGTCATAGGCAACTACGTGCGCACGGAGGTAGAGAACAGAATGTTTTACGGACCTGCCCGAATAAACCAAAGGATGTAAGCTCCGTATAGCTCTCGGCTCTCTCTCGGCCCAAAAGGTTTGACTTCCCACCGGGCGTATCGTTAAAATATCCTTCCCGCCCAACAGAAGACTTCCAAAGACTCCCAAGAGTCTGGGCAGCCTCGGC